GAGGTCATTTGTGATGAGCTGAGATACCGACAAGGCCTCCCTTGCAAGTAAAACGATCGATCGCTGTTGCCTTGTTTTTCTTTCACGGGAATAAGTTCTGGGATCAGCGGGGTCTGACTTTAGACCCAACACTTACCACTTTATTAATTCCAACATGTTTGACCTAATGAATTGGTTTTTTACAAATATCCAATATTCCCACAATGCCACAGTTGTTTATCTGTCTTTTCTTAACCCTTGTATGGTGTTCGGGTCTGTGAGACCCGTGTTCAGTTTTTTTCAAAAGAAAAATTAAACAATTAATTATTTTTTCACGTGTAAATGTGTTGTGTCTTTCCACTCACTCCACTTGATTATAACTGATTTATTTATAACATTTTATATAAAAGAAAAACGAGAAGCACATTGATTCATAAATGTGATCTAACAAAGGTAAAGGGAAAAAATTAACCATGTTTGCTGTTCATATGTCTTGTAATTGGGATGAAGTAAACATCTGTTGAGTAATTTAACATAAAATTGTTTGATAGTGTTAATTTGGAAAGCCAAAACTCTAGCGGGTCCACCAGACCCATGAACACTGGCTGAGTAACAAAAATACGAACACCACACAAGGGTTAAATATCATGGTGTCAGAGCCTCCTCTGTGTCAGGTCCCAGACTCTAGAATAGTCTTCTTCTTAATATTAGATTTGCACAAATGCTCAAACATTTTATATCATTACTAAAGACACATTTTTATGGATCTAAAGAGATGAGGAGAGTGTCTGAATATATATAATACTAATTAATATTTATAATACTAATTGATTAATCTTAATCTTTATTTTCCAAATTCTTTGTGCTCCTTTTATCCATTCAGTAGTTCTGCTGCTGCCATGATTCTTTTCAGACAAAAATTCATATTTCTTGATATTCTTTTCCACCCAGTGCGGTGTCCAATTCAACCGCTTTGTAAGAGATCATCAACAAGGGTTAGGGGTGTATCTAACCCTGACCCTTCTGTGCAGTCACTCGGTCTGATGGGCAGTATTCTACACATAATGATCCCACAGCTGCACAAACTCCAAGTCCTGGACTGAGTTTGATCATAGAGTCTGATTTCTTATTCACTCAGGGGTCTTCTGGTGATATTCTGATGGATGTCTTTCTTTGTTTTAAACAATAATCTAATGCCTCCACCAACATGTTACTTAAGCTGAACTTCATTTGTGGCAGGCAGAGCTAGGACCCAAATATGACATAATGAACTAAAAGAGGCAGCTTTATTCAATGTACAAAAAAATAACTCTTGAAAACTAAATACAAGAAAACTAAACCAAAACTAGGAACTAGGAGTAACTAGGGAAACAAGGAGCACAGAGCCAGGACCATGGCACCATCAGCTCCTCCATGACTGTGAGGTGAGTGAGCTCCAGACCTGAGATTACACAGCTCACATTGATCATATTCATCTGGGAGACAAGATGGGAAATGTGAAATAGTTCTGTGCTAAAAATACTGCAGGTGTCATTTTTTATTGAGTTTGAAAGTTTGAAAGCTGACAGTTTACAGGGTGAGTTTGAAGTTTCAGTTTACTTTTCATGTCTGGAATTTTTGGTTTTAGTTTCAGTGTTTTGATCATAATATTATGGAAGGTTTTTATCTGGGGCAGATTCTCATAATGAAGATATGTTTTACATTGTTTACCTTTGAGCTCAGTTTTAGTTCACTGTAATAACTCTGCATGACACAGAGAGGTGATCTGAACTACCATATAATGCTGTGGCAGGCAGGATGAGGATCAAATGCAGTATTGGATACACATGAGGATAAACTCAAAAGTCTTAACAAAAGCTTTATTTTGCTGGGAAAAAAACAGAGCACTACAAAACAGAAACCTATACTGGAAAAATTTAAACTATCCAATCCAACTTTATTTATGAAGCACTTTAAAATACTCAGCACTGGACTAAAGTGCTGTACAGTGATCAATCAATCAAACAGAACAGCAAAAAACAACAACAAAAAAAAAAAAAATCCCAAAACCAAACAAAAAAAACCCAGAGAATACAAAAAATTAAAACAGCCCTATATTAAATAAACAAGATAGCACCGAATCAACTAAAACTAAGTTACAAGGGAAAAAGGAGCAGACTAAAACCTCACAGCTATGAGGGAAGACACAACAACGGGCAGAGAAAAACACAGGGCTTAAAAGCACAAGGGAGTAACAAGGGAAGTAGAAACACATGGAGAACACAGCTGGGAAAGAAACTGAAAACACTAACATGGGACACGAGACTGAACTTGGAAGAGTTGCAAAACATTGGATTTCTACAGAGTAGAAATGTTTCTGAACAGTGAGCGAGGTAACAAAAGTGTATCAGTCAGTTTTATTTGTCATAATTTTATGTTATTAGTTAGTTAGTTTTATATTACTTAGTTATAATCAGAGATGGGCAGTAATGCGTTACACGCATTGATTACTTACTGATTACTTTTTTCAAGTAACGAGTAAAGTAAGGGATTACTATTGTGAAAACAGTAATTAGATTACCGTTTTCCGTAGGAACGCTGCGTTACTAAAACCGTGATTTTTTTGCGAGAATGTCTCATGACAGTGACGTAAGCGAGTGTGACGTTCGTGACAACAGCTGTGCACAGATCAACAATGGATCATATATCGAGTGTGGGACAGACTATGAGCGTGCAGCGTTTAAAGCATGGAAATACTGACCTTACTTTGAGTTTGATTTCATAAAAAGTGACAAAAACATTACTTTGTTTCAAAAGTAATCAGTAAAGTAACGGGATTACTTTTTTGGGGAAGTAATCAGTAATTAGTTACTGATTAATTTTTTCAAGTAACTTGACCAACACTAGTTATAATACAGCTAGTTCTGTTTTTTGGTTTTATTTAACTTTAATAACTTTGGTATAGAACTTTAAGAATTTGATCAGGCCAGCATTTAGATACATTTGGCTTAACTATGATATATAGTTCGGTCTCGTTCGTTGTGTCCTTGGGCAAGACACTTCACCTACCGCCTACTGGTGTTGGCCAGAAGGGCTGATGGCGCGATATGGCAGCCTCGCTTCTGTCAGTCTGCCCCAGGGCAGCTGTGGCTACAACTGTAGCTTGCCTCCACCAGTGTGTGAATGTGTGTGTGAATGGGTGGATGACTGGGTGTGTAAAATGCTTTGGGGTCCTTAGGGGGGACTAGTAAAAGCACTATACAAATACAAATACAGGCCATATAAACATGATGATGTGCAATTTATTATGTGATTTACTATTTTTCACAGCAGAACACAGCCTGTAAAATCTAACAAAAATTTGATGTGCAGTTTCTGCTAATGTCCAACTGGAGGCATCATCAGGCCAGCAAACAGCAACACCGAAGCTCAGAAAACATTCTTTCTTTTTCTAATTAAAGTTCTGCACTGAGATGTAACTGTGCTGCAGGTTATCTTCAAATTATGTGATTTTCAAATGGAGTCTGGTATGAAGTCAGACTCCATTCAAATATGAGCTGACCATTATCCAGTCAAGCTCCATTCAAAAATATAGTCCTGTTACACATTACCAGAAAGGAACACAGAGAGTGATGATTAAAGAGTTTTAGGTATTGATGCTCTCACTGTGAGCACCCTGTTGCTCACCTGATCAACAGACTCTTAAACACTGAAATGTCTCCACAAAGAATCTAAATATGAGACTGAATGATCAGTCAGACTCTGCTGAGTATTTTTAACTTTCTAAGTCACATGAAAACCTCATAGAACTCCATTATTAAAAACACAGTTCTTGCAAGTTTTGTTTCCTACAGTGAATGTGAATAAATTGTTTTTTCAACACAAAATACTTCAAAATTTCTTGTTTTGTGTTGGTGAACAGAAACTCCAAAAGCCTGCACATTATCTATAGGTTGAAAGTATTTCAGGAGGAAATATGGAGAAATGTTTCTATAGCTGTACTGCAGCATGACTACATGTGAGGTCTTAAATAAATAAATAAACTGAGCAGTGCAGCAAATCTGAATAAAACTTCTGACTGTAGGGTTCTGAATGACAGTTGCAGATCTTCTATTTGACCTTCATGGAGTTTGGTTAACGACACACCTTAAGAATAAAAAGTTGTAGTAAAACTGAGTGTTTTCTGAATTCTTCTGAATTACAGAGACTCAGATTATTTAAAGGTTTAAATGTTAAGTCAGAAATTAAAAAAAAAAAATCATTAACCAATCAAACATTAAGCTCTCAAACTGCTGTTGTGAATCTAGGGGAAGTAACCTGCCTAGAAATGTTAAAATTCTCAATGAACATCTGCATTCATGCTGCATTACACACTCACTCACTCACTCAGGTTTCTGTAATGGTGGGGAGGAGTGTGTGCATGTTTCCTTTTGATATATCTCAATCAGCTGAACGAAGACCAAACAAACGCTGTGTAAAATAGAGAGGAGGGGGGAAGGAGGAAGGCAGCAGGGAGGCAGAACAAGTGACATCGCTGACTTCAAACGTCTTTCATTCTGAGATGTGGGCATCGATAACATCCTGTCTACAGGCGACCTCACAGCGATGCTGTTGTTTCCAGTCAGCCAATCACATTCTGCCTCTGCCTTGAGAGGAGGGTGATAACCCTCCTGACTGGGCCTGACTGCAGTGTCTCTCTCTGGGAACAGTGATGTACGAGCTGGCCCACCTCCTGACAGCAGCAAGGTAAAGACCAGCACTCTCTGAAAGCCACAACATCACCATCATGGACCCTATCATCAGTGTTCTGGAGCTGGTGGGGGTTCTGATCTCAGCGGGGGCCTGGCTCTGCTCTCTGGCCACCACCCTGATGTCCTCATGGCTCACACTGTCCAACTTGCTGGTCACAGAGACTCTTGGGGTGGGCCTCTGGGAGACCTGCGTGCTCAATCAGCAGGGAACACTGGAGTGTAGGCCCTATGACAGTCTGCTGGGGCTGCGACCAGAGATCAAGCTAGCCCGGATCCTCATGTGCACAGCGCTAGGGGTAGGAATGCTGGGGCTTTTGCTTGCCATACCCAGCCTCCACCTTGTCAACGGCTGCCGGCAACAGTTGGAGGACGTGAGCTGTAAGAGGGCCCTGAAGGCAACCAGTGGGGCATTGTGGCTGGTGGCGGGGATCCTGGGCCTCATCCCAGTTTCCTACATCGCCCATGTGACGGTCGAACAGTTCTTCGATGAGTCAGTGCCTGACATGGTCCCACGATGGGAATTTGGGGATGCTCTGTTCTGTGGTTGGACGGCCGGCGTCCTTCATCTAGCTGCAGGAATGCTGCTGCTAATTTCCTGTTTTTATGTGCAGAAGTTAAACAGTAACAGACCCGTTGATGTCCCCCCGGTCCTGACAAAGCTAGAACCTGACTCCATGAGAACCAGATCTGAGTATGTCTGAGACCACCTCATAAAAAGGCTGCTACAAGTCTTCTTCAACCTTTTCTGCATCTAAAACTAAATGTTGGACTACCACACTTCAATTTGTGTCTCTTGAGATCAGATTGGAGTATTTCAGCGAATTTCCAGAAGGGATGTTACATTCCTGATTTTGAGGTTGTATCCAAAGAAGAGGTTAAAAATTTTCTTAAAACTAAACTTTACCCAAACAACTGTCACAACTAGATCTGAATAGAACAACAGGGAGGTCTGAGGTTGCTCCTCTAATTTGACAAAGTGAGACCAGATCAGGAGGTTCAGTCCAAACCTGCAGTAAAACAGATGATTTCTCTATAGAATTTCGATGGTTTCAGAGGTTTGAAAGATATAAGTTTAAAATGTTCTTGATCACAAACAGATGTAAATTTCCTTCTTAATCTGTTAGGGGGGATGGAATTTCTCTCAAATAAAGCTTCAGACTAAATCAGAGTTTGTTTTTATTTTAATTTAACATCTAAAAATAACATCTAGGACAAAGATGTTCTTGCTTTTTAACTGCTTTGGTAGTTTAAACTAAAGAATCAGAGAGAAAATAAATCAGATCATTTTGTCCTGTTGTTAATTTGACTGCATGTAATCACCTTAAAATGATGAGAGATGCCAGTTTATAGTTCTGATTTCGGATGTTTATGAACAGCAGAAAAAAAAACAGTGAACAATATTTGAGCAACACACCCAGACCTTCACGATCTGTCGAGCGTTTTATTCCCTGCGGTGACTTATCTTTGTTTCAATCATTGAGATGTTTGCTTTAGTTTTCCTGGAGCCAAAGAGATGAAAGCTGCTGCGGTTTCCTGCTTTATTCATTTCATTTAAACACTTTATGTAGTTTTTATTGTTAGTCTTAAGGCTGGATTTCATCTCTTTTATTGTTTTTATTTGGAGACAAGGGAAGACAAACTGTTGTTTTTGTGGTTAAAGCAGACTGAAGCAGAGAATAGATTTATTGATAATAGAATATAAAGATATATATCTTTTATCTTTAAACATGAAGGTCTGTGTGAGTTATGAAACTGCTCAACTTGTTTGTAATCAGTTTTGTTCAATCAGATGAATGATTTGTAAAAAGGATTGAATGTATGAATGTGCGCAGCAGATGACTGCAAATAATAAATAAATACTCAAAGTTTCATTTAATGTGTGTAAAAGAAGTTTTTGTGGACATTTAAAATGTGAGAGAGTAAACAGACTCACTAAAACCTTATTACAGATATACAGACAAAGTAGGACAACCTCAGGCAGGTTATCATATAAATACAGTCATAAATCAACACAACTGAGTTTTATATTTAAAGACAAAAAAAAAATAATTAAAAAATATGATTTATAAAATGAATGAAAATAGAACAGTTTTTGTTTTCAAAAAAGGGGGAACCGCGAGAGACCTTCAGCGACTCACACATGCAGGAAATTAGTAAACTATGAGGAAAGAAGTGGGCAAAAGAATCTGCAACGGTGAGCTGTTTTTGATTTGGGGGGAGTTTTCAAGCGGACCACAGAAAGGGAAAACCTCAAAATACGATGCCTAAATTAAGGACTGTCGTGGGAAGGACTCTTCTGTCCTTGGGTTTATGGGTTTTAGCACTTTGTACCGAAGCAAAGGCTGCAGAGGGGACGCCCGCCTGCAATGGGGGCTGAGCTCAGGAGCTGTGAGGAGGTTGTGTCCCTGGAGGTGGTCTGGTTGAAAACTCCAAATGGATGGAGTATGTGTTGTTCAAGAGAAAGAAAGATGTCAACAAAGAAAAGAGGCTGATTTGTGTGGGATGAATAATGAGAAGAGGGGTGTTAAATGTGGAAAAGTGGTGTTTTTACTGAATCAGAGAATGAAAGTGTTAGTGAGTAGTGATGAAAATGATATTAAATAAATGTTTTAGTGTGTTAGTACAGGTGGCTACGGAACTGGATCAACGTCCTCCACAAGCACAGTGGCCGGAGCAAAATGATAGCTTAACTTAATTGGAACCGCATCCAGTTGTGTTTTGGCTGAATATTACACAGCATCACTCCATGTACATCTTAACCTGAAGAACAAGCTTCGAGGACAATCAATCTCTCCCGAAGACAAAATGCAGTTCGAGAGCAACGACGTCGACTTCAAGAGTCGACAATGTGAACACACAGCAACACTGCCCTAAACCTTAAACCTTAAAGGGTTGAGCAGCATGTACAAATATGGAAGCATCAGTTATTAATTAAAGCCAGAATCAGTGACTGCAGCAGCATTGCATAGCAGGTTCTAACCCCTACAGCATGTTATTTCACCTGAAAGCAAGACATTTTTCTTGCGATTTTTCTGGCAGATTTTTGGGTTTTGTTTTAGTACCAGGCCGATTTTGCCAGTTACGTTTGGGTTGTTTTCTTTCTCTAAGAGAAAGACTGTTTTTTTTTTTGTTGTTGGTTTTTTTTTTTGGGGGGTTTACACTTAGAACCGGGCCTAATATGTTTTTTTGTAACAGTGCACTTAGGAAAAAACATGCCAGGTATCATCCCTCTGGGGGTGATATTTTGTGTGTTGGTGATTTAAAAGCAGGCCTGCAAGATTGGGAGTAAAAGGCTATAAAATACTTTAATTCTGAGCAAATATAAGGTGAGCTTCTCTAGATTACAATGGCTTCTATTCTATTTTATTCTATTCTGTACAGTTGTGTACTGTATTTATTCTTATTGTATTCTAATTTTTGCCTCATAACTTTTGCACTGTCCACTTCCTGCTGTGACAAAACAAATTTCCCACGTGTGGGACTAATAAAGGTTATCTTATCTTATCTTATCTTATCTTATCTTATCTTATCTTATCTTATCTTCTGAGGAAATTCACCTACCTAGGATGCTGACCATATTATATGGTAAGTCCTGTGTTTAAAAGGATTGTAGTGATTCAATCCCTTTCAAAAGCAATAAGAATTGTTCTTATTTTTGTAACATTGCTGCCAGTGGATATTTACATTCATGCGCAGTTTTCCACTATCAGCAATGACTGGTATGAATGCATGTGACTGGACGGTGGCTGGACTGATGATGTGGACCAGGGTTTTAATAGTTTTGCAATTTTCATTAGTTTTTATTTTTATTTCGTTTTGACTTCAGATTTTCAATTTTATATTAATTTTAATTAGTTTTTACCAATTGTTTGCTAGTTTAGTTTAGTTTTTATTTTTTTGAAAATCATTAGTTTCAGTTTAGTTTTGATTAGTTTCAGTTATAGTTTTAGTTGTGTTTGCAATAATTAAGTGTAACAAAATCCCAGTTTCATCATATCAGTCATTCTCTTCTGCTTATCCTTGGGTATGTTGCTATTCCAGCTACCATACCCTGCACCCTGCACAGGTCGCCTGTCTGTCGCAGGGCTAACACGCAGAGACAGACAACTCACATTCCCACCTATGGGTTCTTTAAATAAATAAATAAAGGCAGATGAACAACCATTGATACCAGGCAACTATAAAATGTATATCTTGGCCCCAATGAGACTATTAACTCTTGCAGCACCGGGTGTTAAGGCAATTGACTCACACAGTTATGTAGATATCCCAGTCCTGTTGTCTCGGGATGCATCACGCTGCCTTGCCTGGTGTTAGCTTCTGTTTCTGGGGATGAGGGTTGAGTGTGCTCCCTTACCTTCTCAAGGTAAGCTAGGTTAGCCTTCTTGTGTGAGCTTTTCAAGTGCACTTTAAGGTTTGTGGGATTTTTTTCCCTTTAGAAATGTCCCTCATAATTTGTCTCTTTCCACTACAAGACACTTGCTTTATCCAAAACACAGTCATATTCAAAGTAATCCCAAATTGGACTCTGGCGCTTTCTCCTGACATGATTCTGCGCGTGGACGGAGCAGCAACACAGACGACTCGACTAACGTACTGCCACCTGCTGGCATAATGAGACACAGCAAGAAAAAAATCTGGAAACTAAACTTCATTTTCACCCTTGACTATTGTATGACACGCACACATCAACGAAAACTAAACACATTTTTGCTATAAATTCAGTTAATTTTAGTTAGTTTTGTGAACACTCATTACAGTTTTAGTTAGTTTTCCTTTACAGTGTGAAACATACTGTGTTTGAAACCAGTATTACCTCTTTTACAGCAGAGTGTTAACTTTATGACCTTTTCGCAGCACATCTGGAATCTGTAGATCCCGGACTGACCTCCGGGATGCTTCATATATTTTGCTAATGTTTGTTTCTCTCTAAGAGTGCTTGTGAAGGATTCAGCACAGACAGACAAGTGAGTAGAAGTGCAGTGATTGTGTAACATTTTTAGTGTTGGGCTCATTATCTGATTACTGTTGAGCTCATAGTGATGAAAAGTGTGAGTGACATTGCTTAAGGAAAGTCACCGGTTACAGTAATGTTGAAGAAACACATGGGATGATTCATGTCTGGGGCGAATTATGGCAATAATTGTGGTTTAATGATTTGAAAAAACCTGCACATGATACTTGTCTTTGATGCTGAATACTTTATTACTCTTATGAGCTGCAATTGTTTGCAAGTGTGAAGTTTGATTTATCTTCCAGATCTTGTTTACCAGGCAATGATAGCGGGGATGCAGGCTCCTGGCGGAGCAAACTTAATATGCAAAACACACTGATATCTTTTATTGCAGGGTTACAGAGCTACTCCAGAGGAGACGCCCTGATGTTGCATTGGAAATGATCTAACTACCCTTTATCTTTAAGAAAGGAGCCTAGTTCTGATGAGTTGACTCATGGGAGTGTCCATACGTCAAGAGGAGGGATTCCAGGTTTAACATGAAACAATGTAACATGAAACAATTCTTTCTGTGTTTTCCATGAGTTTTTCATGATGATTTTCTCCATGGCTTTTTACTGTGACTTGTGGGATTAACATGTTATGGACAGGTGATGCACTTATGTTCAGATGAGGGTTTGAAAACCTATAAGTGAAGTTCACTAAACTGAAAAGAAAAATGTGGTTTGATGATGGTTGAAATGTCTTCCAAATGGTTAGTTTTTCCTTCTAGTAGGGAGATACAGGTGCAGCAGCCAGAGTATTGCTGGATGAAATCATCCCAAGGGTGGAATCTCCCGACTGAGATTGAGACTGGGTGCTGATCAGAAGTCTTCAGAGACCTAGTGAGAGACCTTACACACACACAACACAGACATCACATGGGGATACAGGTCAGACATCGGTAGCGTTACAGAAAAAAAAAAAACACTGAAATATACACTACAATGGGAAAGTACAAGAGAAAAAAAAGAGACCTCTACTCATGCTGGGCTCCTGGGAGGACACGTGACAAGCCACGGGGTCGGCTGGGGGGTGAGGAGTAATTCGAAGCAAACACAGCAGCCATCCTGCCCAGCGCTACCATTCCAGCGCGGGCTCAGACCCGCCGTGTTCCCAGGAGGGAACAAGCATCGAAGGCATTTCGAAAGGGAGGGGGGATGAGTGTGTGCATATCAGTGTATATGTATGTGTGTACGTGTCCAGAGTTCAGCTGAGACAGTGTTCTTCGCCCTGCTAGGCTAAGTAAACAGTCTTCCAGCCAACCCAGGTGGCATTGCATGGAATGGGAAGGAACAGACTAAAACCAGTCGTTATCAGGGAGTTTTTGTTCGGCTCCAGCCTTGAGACCGCAGCTGGCACCGAAAGGGTATCCGCATGAAGTGATGGTGCTTTTTACTTTAGTGCGAACAGCTCATATGAATTTCAAAGCAGTTCTAAAGTCCAACACTGGTCTCTCAATCTCCCGTTGGAGAGCTGCAAGCTTCGCCATACTTGCGCTCTGTGATGTTGTCATTCTTGTGCTCAAAGAGCCGATTCTGAGAACTCACGACAGTGTGCCTCCCCAAGATGTCATCCAATTTGAGAGGTGTTATTCCGAGTGAGCCCTTCCGAGATGTATCCAGTCTGCACTCAGAGATCTTATTCTGAGTATTCACAGCAGCCGTAAGCCTTTCCAAGATCTTATCCGTGCTGACTCAATGAGCCCATTTTGAGAAACTCACGCCTCTCCCATCGTTCCAATCCTAGCTGGCAGCCTTGTGGGGGTTTGAACAGCTGGTTCCGTTTTCTTAATTCTTCAATAAGTCAGGGCCAAGCCAACTCCGATCAGCCAGAACCCTGTTATCATGGTTCTGAATAGGTAGATATCTTCAGCACTCAGGCTCACCCAAGCCCAAATT